AAAAAAAAAAAAAAAAAAAAAGGTTGATTTTTTTTCTCCAAATGTAGTTAAAGAGTAAGAAAGACAAGGCCTTAAACTTGGTTTTATAATAAGGAGAGAAAATGAAAAAGGTCCCATCTAGCAATATACAGCTCTTCTCTCTTTGCCTTTCTTATTCCTATTGGTTATAAGTCTAACAACAATAATTTTTTTAAAAGGTACTGAGAGTAGCTTAAAATATAAAGAAATTTTAGGACTTACATTTTAAAAGTGCTAATTGATACCTTCTAGGAAAAGTTCTGATTAGTCTAGTTATTAACCTGAAACTAAAAAATTATAATTCAACATGGCCAATGCATCTAAAATCACTTTGATTTAATGTAATTGTTTTTTATGCATACTTTATATTTTCTTGTCTGTTTATCTGCCTGTTAATCTGTTTTAATAACTGTTTCAAGTATCTGCAGCTGCTTCATTAAAAGAATTAGTTTTTATCTTGTATTTATTTTTAGTTTTTGCCCATATAGACTTCTGCCTGTTAGAGCTTTTCACTAAAAGTTATAAAAATATTCAAGGGTGGGCTGGGGATTTAGCTCAGTGGTTCTGCCACTTCCCTCACAAGAACAAGATCCCGAGTTTGATCACTGGTACCAAAAAAAAAAAAAAAAAAAAAAAAAAGATATCAAATATTCAAGGGTAACAAAACTCACTTAAAACATAAGAGGGTAAAACTTGCTAGGCTCAAGGCTTACCTAAAACTTGCAAATAAAAACCTTAAATTTGAGGGCTGGGGATTTAGCTCAGTGGTGCTGCCACCTGGCTCACAAGTGCAAGGTCCTGAGTTTGATCCTGATACCAAAAACAAAACAAAACAAAAACTAAAAAACCTTAAAATTCAGTAGCATACAGGTTATATATGATGTAGATGAATACATAGATTTCTGTGTGTTAACTTACAGGCTTATGTTATCCTCTAAAGTTCTATTTAAGCTGATTTATGGATAAATTGAGACATGATATTAGCCCAAATGCTTTTGGGTCACATGGTTCATATGAGCTAATTTAAATTGGTTGGTAAAGATGTCTTTAAAGTTGGCAACATGTTTGCATTCAGGTTGTTAGCCAATCAAGATGATTAAGGTGGGCATGGTGGTACAATGCCTATAATCTCAGCATATGGAAGGCTGAGGCAGGAGGATGGCTGTGAGTTCATGGCCAGCCTGAACTACAGAGACCCTTCTGCCTAAAAAACTGGTTTTATAAATGTCCATTGTTTCCTGTGTACAATAATTAAAGAATTTTTCCTTGGTCAATGCTACTATATATAGCTTAAAAAGGTTAGCTGTTCTATGCTTTGGCTCTCATGTGTTAAAGTTATTATTATTATTATTATTATTATTATTATTATTATTATTTTGGGTTTTTTGAGACAGGGTCTCACTATGTAGTTGAGACTGACCTGGAACTCACTATGTAGCCCAGTCTGGTCTGGAACTCACAGGGATCCTCCTGTCTCAGCCTCCGGAGTGCTTGGATTATAGGTGTGCTCCACCATGCCTGGCCTATCTAAAGTAATTATTAAAATGAGTGAACAAATATGAATAGAATTCTTATAAATGTTCACAACAATATCTAATCAGTTGCAAATATAAATTTAAGTATTCTTGGCTTAAGGCTTACAAAAAGATAATATATTTGATTTATTAAATGTGTTTTTATAAATTATTAATATATACAAAAGTTCAAGAATTGCTTCCTTAACTAGGTTAGATGTCTAATATTGCATTTTATATTAAAATAATATTTTTAAAAATTTCCCCAAAGTGGGGCCCCCTAAGCATAAAAAAAGCAGCTGCCTAAACCAGTTTGCTTCTGCTTCCTCTAATGACAGGTAGTTTCCCCCGAGAATCTTATTGCTCCCCACCCCAACAAATGTTATTAAGGAACTTATTTTATATATGTACATTTATAATTACTTGGCTATAACAAAAAGTTTAAATGTTTTCTGTGTCTAAAGTAATAAATAGTTTACTTCAGATATTAAAATGCTCTTGGTTAAACATGTAAAAACTAGATTGAAAAGCAAAGGTTTTTATATTTTCCATTGTTAGGCTTTTGGTTACTTAAGAAAATGAGTTTCAAGAGTTAAAGATTATTGCCAGGTGTGGTGGCCTACGCCTGTAATCCCAAACCTTCCCAGGAGTCAGTTTTACCCTCTCAAAAAAAACCACAGATGTTCTCAGTTCAAAAAAGTCAATGTGCTTCTCTCTTTTGAGGACCTACATTTTATTTCTTTGAGTATGTACTAAAATTTCTGCCTAATAAACCCTTCTTGAGCCTCTTATTGATGCATCCTAAAAGTTCTTTGCCACAACCAGAGCCAGCAAACCTATGAGCCCCTTCTATGTATAGGGTGGGTTAGGGTCCTTAGCTCAGCTTCAGAAACCTTAGACCCAGGACAGTGACAGCGTAATACTGTGTCACAGACCTGCTGCACCCCAGGGTGCAGAGCTAACCCACTGGGCACCCCTTCCCTATCCATTGCTGTAGCCCTTCACTCAGCCCTTCATTCATGTCCGTGTTACGGACAGGGAATACTACAGGGTATTCACAGGCTGTCCTGGTTCATACCTAGCACAAAATCACTGGCTGGCCTCGCAGCAGCAAGGAACCAAAATGCCAGGCTTGGGTGGCCATGGGAAAACCATCCATGGCCACTAGGGTCTGGGACGCCAGCCACTGTCCTCTGTGGTGCACCCGAGAATCCACTTCCACTTTTGCTTTGCTCCTACCAGAAGACAGATTGTCAACTCCCTCTAGGAAGAAAAACACCCTCCTGGACAGGAAAGCTGAAGGCAAACAAGACAATGGCAGTGCCTGCTTTGGCCACTTACAGCAGCAATGTACCACCAGGCCTCCTGGCCAGCCTGGCTAGTCCCCGCTCTCATCTCCAGGTCCTCCTGTGTGCTCAGCTCCTGCTGCAAAGGCAGCAACCCTGGGTGGCAATTGTGCTACATGACAGGGACTGGCAGAACAGCAGTAGGGAGGGGCATCGTCGCAACTGAAGCTCCACAGTGTGGACGCTTCCCAGGAGTCAGATTTTTAGTCCCTGCCCACCTCTGCCAGTGAGGAAAAGACCAGAAGCCAGGAGAGAAACAGACTCATAAAAGAAGCAGAATCCTCCTTTTCATTGTGCCTTAAAGCGTCCTAACAGTGTGGTGCTGTCAGAGGCCTTGGTTTGGAGAAAGAGACACCTTGGAGACTGGGCCTCTGCTCTCCGGTCTGCTCCTTCAGCAGTGTGGTTCTGGGCCACCCACATCACTAGTGATTTCTTCTGTCTGTCTTCTACTCTGGGCAAGGAGCTCTCCAAGTCAGAATTCTCATTTTGCTCTTTGAATACCAGAATTTACCACAGCTGTCAATTAAAAAATGAGCCACAAATGATGGAGGCTCAGAGAACCGATGGGCTCAAATGTGCTCTCAGAATGGATAGCCTCACCAGCTACCCTTGCCCAGAGCTACCTGCCAAGATCTACCACTTTGAAGATCAGCTTTTATAGAGATCAATTTATTCACCTACACAAAGATGAAAATTATTTTTAAGTGTCAAGTTACTCTGTTGGCTAATCATATCATATGTTTTCTTGGCCTGTTTCCTCATCTGCAGAACAGATAAAAAAAGAACAACACGTGGCCAGGTGTGGTGGCGCACGCCTGTAATCCCAGCACTTAGGAGGCTGAGGCAGGAGGATCATGAGTTCATGGCCAGCCTGAACTATGTAGTTCTACCCTGTCTCACCCACCCATCCACCCCCTTACAAAAAAAAAGGTCAACATGACCTACCCTTCCCAAGGCTGCTGGCAAAAGTAAGGCTGAGGTGACCTGGCACATGCAGTGTCCACTGAACACCAAGTCTTCCTTCCCTCTTTGTTGCACAAAAAAGACAAAGGGACTGGCCTACTTACCTTTCCTATCCTGATGCATGAATTTATAGTATCCAGCAAGTCAGCCTTTTTTTCATTTATAGGCACTTCTGCTAACTCCTTCCCTATTAATTCACCTGACTGATAGCCCATTGTAGTTTCAAATGCAGGATTTGCATACTGAAGAGAGATGAAAGAAAAAAAAATCCAATGAATTAAATGGCATTTTGAAATGAGGACAGTCAAGGGTCTTCCACCTAAGCACTCCTGTTTCCCTCAAGAGCCTGCACCTGTCCATGTTCTAACACCACTAAAACATGATCTCAGGAAAATCCACAGCCTGGACAAGTGCTATCTGGCTGGGCTTTCTGCTGTAGCAGCAGCCACCTGACCTGGCCTGCTGAGTGGAGCTGCAGGGTACTAAATAAAGCACTGGATTGGGATGTGCAACACCCATGCTTTCCTCCTCTGCACACTTCCTCCTCTGCTGCATTTTTGCAAGTCACTGTGCGCCTGAATTTTGGTCTGCTCATCTGGATAATGGGAATGAAACCTTTCTCTTGCCTTTCTCATGTGATTCAAGTAAATAATGTGTGAAGAGCAGGCTGTGAACTAGCGAGTGTTTACAAATCTCATGCTTAATGGTTAAGTTTCAAATAGGACTGAAAAATGGGAGGCAATATAGGGGAAAGCTGTGTATGTGCTGAAGGTGCTGACAGATCAGTAATTAATGCTGTTCACTAAGATCTGTTTTCCTTGCTAAACAAACACTTTACACAAATTAACTCATTTCATCCTCAAAACCACTTTGCTAAAGGCAGTGGCTGTTATTCTTATTATGATTCTCATCTACACAGATGAGAAAGCAGATTCAGCTGGACAAGGGTTAAGTAATTTGCCCAAAATGCTTCAGCCGAGGCAGATGAAGACCGAAGCCTGTGCCCTCAACCACCGGTCTGTGCCACCTCACAGGACACTGGCTCCAGACCCCAGCATCAGCAACTTCACTGTGGGAGCCACAAGTCAGATTACAGGACCAGGCCCGAGGGGGAAATATCTAAGCAGAGCCAATTCTTGGACAGAAGGAAGTGTTCCTGTGCCACTGCTCTCTTTTTTCCTGTTATCTGAAGTACAAGCCATGTTCTCTTAAGTCACCTGTATAAACTTACCTTACTAACAGTGGGTGTTCTTTAATTACTGGGTATCCCTTTTTGACATTTTTATTTTTTCTAGAAATCTGTACAAGTGTAAACTATCTTCCAAATCAGTTATAAAAGTGTAAAAACAGTGAGAAAAGCTTGCAGACCTTGTAGTGCAGACCTCTACTGTAGTTTTCCCATGAATATAAGCAAAAAATATTTGACAAAAATTAGAAAATACAGATCAAAATAAATAAGACAGCAAATCACCCCACTAGAATACTCAAATGTCCCTCTCATGCAACCTTTGGAATAAAAGTCTCCTTGCTAAACAAACCTACCTCACCCAGTGAGAAACAATAAATACAAATGTGCTACTTTTATAGACATTTTCTAGCATTATAATTGTTATATCTTTTTTATCTAGAGAGCACATACTAAATTTTATATTTTGATTTATTTGTATAATCTCCTAAGGAAAGCTAGTCTCTTGAATTTTAAAAAGAAAAAAAACATCATAGGGGAAGAGTACAATCCTAAAAATGAGAACAGACAGACAAGAAAATAAGGACAACTTTCCAAAATAACAAACCTGAATAATGTGGTCTTCACTTGTAATTTCAATAGCTTCTTGGCTTTTCTCTAATGCAGTGAATACTGAGTTACAAGCCCTTTATGGGTAGAAACAGAAGGACTGATTAATGTAAACACTACTAATCTTGGGTTACTTGCAATCTTGGGTTATTACATTAGCCTATTTAAATGTGATTTTGGCTGATTTGTAAAGATAACGTTGTATGCTCGACTAAGAAGAAGGGGATATTTAAAAGCATAAAGATACCTCCCGCCACACCTACAATTAGATGACCCCTACGCACACTACTGTGCCTTGAAGAGGCAGGGGCCTAGCAGTAACACGCCAGGCTCCACTCACGACTCTTCAGCAGTGTGGGACCGAGTGTTACAGTGAATGAATCCCCTAGACTGTCCCTTCACAATGCCAGAACAGTCTCGTAAGGACAATGTGAGAGAACACAGTCAAAGCAGCCTGCCAGAAAGGAGGACTTCAATCGTCCAGAGGTATTTTAAACAATGATTTTTACCAAACTGGGGTCATCTGGAATGATCAGCTTTGTTTTCTGCTTTCTTCACTTAGTCTTACACTGTGAGCACTTCCCATATCCTTAACATTAGAAATAATTTTTAAATATGATAGAAGTAAAAAATGTTTATTGGCTGGGCATGGTGGTACATGCCTATTACCAGCACTTGGGAGGCACAGGCAGGAGGATCACTGCAAGTCCGAGGCTAGCCTGGGCTACCAGTGACTTTAGGGCCAGCCTGAACTACAAAACAAGACCCTGTCTCAAAACAAACCAAAAACCATGTAGACTGGTGCAACCACCATGGAAATCAATATGGAGATACTTCAAACAGCTAGGATTAGAAGTCCCATTTGACCCAGCTATTCCTCTGCTGGATGTCTTCCCAAAAGAATTAAAAGAATCATACCACAGTGATATATGTGCATCCATGTTTACAGAGGCACAGTTTGTAGTAGCTAAAACTTGGAAACAGCCCAATTGCCCATCAACTGGAGACTGGATAAAGAAGTGTTTTCTTCTTCTTCTTCTTTTTTTTAATAAAACGGAGTACTACTCAGCCATAAAGAACAAGAATTAGAGATGTTTATAGCTAAGTGGATGCACATTGAGGCCATACTCTAAATGAAATAAATAGGACACACATTTGTAAATGCTGGATATTTTCTCTGGTGTGAAGGACTAAAAGCATAAATAAGGATAAAATATATAACTGATATTGTGAAATAGGAAGAAAACGTCTAAAGGAGTAGGGGAAGTGGAAGGGATAGGGGAAAGGAAAGAAGGGAAAGAAAAAATATGAGAAAAGGAAAAACATGGAAACAAAGTCTTTGTATATAAGGAAGGGTGGAGGGGGTAAAGGGAGGGCAGGAGAATGGGGAAAAAATAAGAACCAAGATACATCATGTAAAGGTACAAGATCCTAATGATGAATGTAACCGTACTGTATGCCTAAAATGTACCAATAAACTTAATGAGAATAAAAGTTTATTGACAAAAATTAGAAAATAGAGATAAAAATAAATGAGATAGCACATCATCCCACTACAGTCATCAAAAAGGCAAGTCACCCCAGGTGTTGGTGAGGAGCCCTCAAACTGCTGGCGGGATATAAAATGGTGCAGCCCTTTTTTCAGAAAACAGTCTAGAAGTTCTTCATATGGTTAAACAGGACCACCATATGGTGCAACTATTCCAGACTGTAAAACTACAGAATATGGTTCTGTTTCTGGAAATGTACATATTACATATGTATTTATGCAAGAAAATGCCTAGAACACCATTTGATATATCTCCTTGTTGGGATTTCCATTGGTTTCATCTCTTTTTGTGGGGGGCACCAGGGATTGAACTCGGGTCCTTATGCTTTCAAGGCAGGCAGCAGCACCACTAAGCTAAATTCCCAGCCCTACTATCATTTTTAAACACACCATACAGTTCACCCATTTAAAGTACATAATTTGGTATGGTGATGCATGCCCATAATCCCAGCACTTGAAAGGCTGAGGCAGGAAGTTCACTAAGAGTTCAAGGCCAGCCTGGGCTACACAGTGAGTACAAGGCCAGCCTGAACTGCACAGCAAGATCCTGTCTCAAAAAACGAAAAGTCCATAATTTAATAGCTTTTATAATATTCAGCGTTGTACACAAATCACCATAATTTTAGGCCGTTTGTGTTAACCATAGCTTAGGCTATTAATCTACTATCTCTGCAGCCTTGCCTGTTCTGCTTTTCCCGCTGTACAATGTATATTAATCTCTCCTTATCAATAATTACAGGTCTTTATAACTTTTTATAATCACATAATATTCTATTGTAAGGTTATACTATAGTTTATTCAATGGCCTGCCTGTAATTAGATTCATAGTTTGTTTATGGGCTTTTTCCCTTGTAAGTATAAAGAATCACCTAAGAATCGTTAGGAAGTTCTTTCTGTAGGGGGACTGTTGAGATAGAGTCTGACTATGCAGTTCAGGCTGACCTTGAATTTGTAGTGCTCCTCCTGCCTCAGCATCTTCTTTGGGATGATAGGCATACACAACTACACCTGGCTAGGGGGTTCACTTGTGCTAGAAAATTAAAGGAAAAAAGAAAAGGAACCAACTGCTCATAAAGTGTAGTAATAAGTAAACTTTAAGAATAACAATGCTTTTATATTATTCTTGGTATTACTGAACTTTCTCACCAAATAAAACAGTTCAGCCAATAAAAATTAGCTTCTTTTTAAATATAAAAATCAATAAATGGTATGTGACTCATATTTGAATAAAGCTGTTACTAAAAAAACAAAAAAAACTAGAGGGCCAGGGATTTAGCTCAGTGGTTCCACTGCCTGCCTCGCAAGTGCAAGGTCCTGAGTTCGATCCCCAGAACCAAAAAAAAAAAAAAAAAAAAACCTAGAGAGAAGTTTCCTACCTCTGACATAACAGGCCTGGAGGAGATGATCTCTAAGAAGCCTTTCTGGATTTTATGTATTTTTTTTTAACTTTTGCAGATTTTGGTACATAAAGAATATCATATCATTTAAATTTGTATTTATTTGTTTGATTATTAAGTGTGGCCGAACATCTCTTCATATATATGATTACTAATATCCCTTGTAAATTGCTGGTACATGTCCTTTAGTTTTTCCTACTGAAGTGTTGCTGTTTTTTATTGATTCAGCAAAACTCCCTTTTGGGATATTAACCTAATGCCTGTCCTATATGCTACAAATATATGTTATATTTCTCTGTCATTTGTCTAAAATTTTGATATTATTTCAGGTTTTGGTCTTTTAAAAAAAACTATCACCGGGAGTGGTGGTGCATGCCTGTAATCCCAGCACTCGGGAGGCTGAGGCAGGAGGATTGCAATGAGTTCGAGACCAGCCTGGGCTACATAATGAGTTCCAGGTCAGTCTCAACTACATAGTGAGACCTTGTCTCAAAAAATAAAAAAACAAACAAACAAACAAAAAACAAAACAAAAAACTATCAACAAGCTTAACATTTTTTGTTGTCTAATTGAATCTTGCTTTTATATCATGCTAAGCTTAAAAAGACTATTCAGTTACATGTATCCACTTATATTTTTCACTCCTGATGTAGAACTACTTTTTTCCATGTCTTTAATTCATTGGAGTTTATTTCAGGATAGCAGGTGAGATCAGGATATGACTTTTTTTTTTAACCAACGAGTTAACCAGTTGTCACAATCCCATTGACTAAAAAGTTTACTCTTTCCCATATTGATTTAAAAGCCATGTTGATCTTATGCTAAATCCTTAAATATACTCAAATGTATTTCTAGTCTTCAATATTCTATATCCAGCAGTATCACAAAGTTACTTGTTATAGATTTCCAGAAGTCTCAAGCCCCACATTCCCTTTCCTTCATATTCTTTTCTGTCTGTAATGAACATCTCCATTTTGCTGTGAGCTGCAGCGGGGCATGAGGGGAGATAAGGACAGAGATGGAGGCAGTGAAAGGGCCTGGAGAACCCGGGGCCACATTCTGCAGTCTGGGTTTCATTCTTAAGGCCATGGAAAATTGCAGGACAGAAACACAAACAGAGTTATCTGGTCAAGAGAAATTCGGGGCTAGATGTAGAGAGACTGACTGAGAGATTCAATCAATAATCCGGGTAAAAGATTACACTGAGTAGCAGTGACAATGAAGAAAAGTGGACAGATCCCAGAGACACTCAGGAGGAAAGCACAGCAGGATGGTGAGGGATGGGATTCGGGTCATGTGAAGGAGACCAAGGATGCTATGTTCACTAAGCTGAGTATTCGGAAAGAAAGGTTGGAGGCCAGTGAGAGAAGAGGAAAGACAATGACTGAAGCAGTTCTGAAATGCGGGTTACAACCTAAAGGAACAGCTTTGCCATTTGCTGCTTGTGAGATCTTGGATGTGAGTCTCTGTGAGTCTCATTTTCTTTATCTAGATTGGATTAAATAGACTCTAGCATCACCTCCTGCACCAAAATTCATCCTACTCTCCTCTGAGAGTGTGGCAGCTAAACTCCCTGGGGAGGTGCTGTGACCAAGCCAGCCAGGGGCCAGAGTCTACTGTGAGTTTCCCTGAAAACCTGGCAACAAAAGCTCTTCTGTACACCACACCAGCCTTCAAGCAGTCTGTTCAGCAGCATTCTTCCCTCACTCACACTCTGCCTGCTCCTCATTCATCTTCATTCTGTGAGGCACTTTTCTTCTCCACATGTGGGACCTCCCTACTAATCCCCATTTCTGTGCCTTGGGCATATACAAACAGAATGACCCAATTTGTTCTCTGATCACTGGTAAAGGAAATGTCAAACAGTAGGACACCCAAAGAAGAAAACTAGAATGACAGGGAAGCGCTGATTTTACTTTCCTTCTGTCAACCTGACATCATTTTACTGCTGTTCCTCTACAAAGAATTCATTTCACTGTGTGTGTGTGGTGCTTATTGTGAAAAAATTATAAAATGTTTAATATGGAGAAGAAATAATCACCTACCAGAGATAATAATATTACTGAGTATGTCTGTATATCCTTAAAATATTTTTTTCTTAGGACACCAAACAGAAAATCCAGTATGTACAGTTTGATTTACTATAGGGTCTCATGTTTAAATGTGATTCTGCAATCACTAATGTGACCCTTATTAAACACCCAGACAGGGCCGGGGATTTAGCTCAGTGGTTCCACTGCCACCTGCCTCACAAGCGCAAGGACCCCAGTTCGATACCCGGTACCAAAAAAACAAAAACAAAAACAAAAAACACCCAGACAGTCCCAGAAAATCTGTCTGAGGAGTAGCCACCACACTACCCATCCCAACATATCTGGGGTCAGTTACGGCCAAGAAGGTCCCGTGTGCAGCAGGGCCCTGTGTGGTCTGAAGGTGCTCTAAAAGGGGTGAGTTACCTGAGTTTCAGTTGTGATCGCACCTCTCCGAACTCCAGCTGGAGCAGTTCATTGTAACAGGCCATGATGCTGGGGTTTTCTATATACCTCTATCAATAGAAAGGGGAATTGTGTGAATAAACAAAGGAGCATCTTTGAATAATTATGTAGGCCAATTAAAATAATTCTTGTAAATAAATTTCTTATTTGGCATCTGAAATCTAAAAAATACTTTATTATTATTAATAACAAATTGGACAGTGCTGGGGATTTAGCTCAGTGGTTTTGCCACCTGCCTCGCATGTGCAAGGTCCCAAATTCAACCCCCCGTACCCTGCAAAATAAAATGAACAAGAAAAACAGGAGATAAGAGATGTAATTTACAGACACCAAATTAGCTTTTTTAAAAAACAAGATTTTCTTTCAGGATCCGAAGAGCATTTTCACTGATAAAGCAAAGGTTAGAATATGTAGAGCAGGAAATTTATTAACCAGAGATGTAGTTGTATTAAGCTTTTCAGGAATAATATTTTGTCCTCTACAATTAGGCAAACTCACAGTCTGCAGAACTACCCTTGCCTTTCTACCTGACCTGAAGTTAAGAGGGAACTTTTAACCTGGCAACTGTCCTACATCACCCTCCAAAGTGGCCAGCTCATGACCCCCATAGCAAGGTGCCAGCTGAAGCCATGCATTCGCCCAGTGTCTGTTATTGTGGTGTTCATTAATTGTTTTGGATAATAACTGTTATACAATGGAAACATCCCACAAAAAATTACACATTCTACCATCAAGTGAATGTGGTATAATCACATGGTATCTTAGAAGTCACTGTTCCTGTAACATGAGTCATCCCTTGGGTTCCACAGGATATTGGTTCCAGGTCGCATAACCACAAGATATGAAAATCCAGATGCTCAAATCTTATAAAAATGGCCTTTGACATACAACCTACACCATCCTCCTACATACATCACATCATCTCAACAATACTTACAGTGCCTAGTACAATGTAGATGCTATTTAAACTGTTATACTGTATTGTTCAGAGAATAATGACAAGAAAATATCCACACATGTTCCGTTTTGATGCAATTTTTCCTTCAAGTATCCTTGATGTGCAGTTGGTGGAATCTCCTGATGCAGAGTCCATGAATAAGGAGGCCAACAACAGCTTTCTTTAGATGTAAAAGTACTCAGAACATTTATGCATCCTATTCCTATGACTAGCTCTTCTTTTTATCTGCATAACAAATCGATAATACTCTACTCGGCTGAGGAGGAAGGTAGAGCTAAAGAGGAGAGTCCTCTGCAAGCTACTCCCTAACTGCTCCAGCCAGACAACTGGGGCTCCCCAAGCAGCTCCCCCCACTGCCATGGCGAAAGCAGGTGACTGCTGTGCTGGGCAGTGATCAGGGTCTTGCCTGGGTGTCAAGCAACCTAAAAATCCAGCCCCAGCTTCATGCCTTAAAGGCTGTATGACTCTAAATGAGGCACTTCATACTCTCCCACCACAGCCTGTTTCCTCATCTGTAAAACGAGGGAAATCATATTGCTCCTGCCCATGGCAGAGCACCATGAGAATACAGAGATGATGACAGAAGCAGTCTGCCTACACACTGCAGCACAGATGTGAAGAACGGCTAGTACCATCTTAGGCTGGCTGGCTGTGGGCATGATAGTCCCTAGGCCTGCTTGCAAAAACACAGCCCCTCTCACCAGCAGTCTGGCAAAGATAACGTGCTTTCCAGCCACTATGACTGATATCATAGAAGGTGCTGGACATGATGAGAATTCCCCAGAATGTTCCCCATCTACATGGGCAGTGGGTACACTGCTGACTGTATAGGTGCAAGGGAGGAACTGGACATATAGTGTTTGTTCTACTCCAGCAGATGAGGGTTAGGGCCTTGAGATGGGCAGAGGGCTCCAGCTGCTCAGCAGGTGACAACCTGGGACTGGGGAGGGGGGAACACGTGTATAAGTTTATCCACTTCAACAGATGGCCTCCCACATGAACACATTTTCACTGGGTATGAATGTTACAGATCCACCAAAACTTTCTGCTCCAAAAGTAGAAATAGATAACAGTACATGTGGCCATCCTTTGGAGGCATCTTTGCTCCCACTGTCCATCCTGCCCTTTCATCTCTGCTTTGTTCTGTGTCTAACCAGCTCATCTCTACTGCCCCTCTACAAGATTTTCTGTTCCAAGGACCCTGCAGGGTAGAGAAGCAGACTGCTATCCCCACTGCTTAAGCAGCAGTTAGTCTCTCCCCAGCACCATCCTGAAATCCTGCAGACCTTCCGAGCAGACTCAACTCACTTTCCACAAGGCATGTCACACCTCAGCTAGGACCTACATCCCTTCTTGGGAGCCTCACCCAATGGCCCACTACTCTTGGCTGCATGTAGAATTACTCCCAATGTGAATAAAAACAGGGCCAGGGATTTAGCTCAGTGGTTCTGCTGCCTGGCTCACAAATGTAGAGTCCTAAGTTTGATCCCTGATACCTAAATAAATAAATACCCAACAGCAGGCTCCTGCCCTTACTCCCCAGGCAGACTGAAGCAAACTCTCCAGGGATGCCCCCAGGGAATGCTAATGCGTGCTCAGCAAGAGACACAAACCCCATCCTGAGAGAGGTTTCACTCAGCTCAGTCAATTGCCCAGTCCAGCTGAAGCAGGAAGCAGGCTCCTTTTCCACTCTGTGATTCTGAACCGCAGCTAGGTCACAAGATAGCTAACGGCTCCCTGAACACCAGAGATCTCACGGTGGTGTCAGTTTCAGTTCAAGCTTTGGTACCACAGGCTGCACACTGGGAGGCTGGAAGAATCCCCTCTCAGTAAGTCTAGCTGTGCTCAGCAACCTAAGCCTCCTTTTGTCACATGCAGGTTAGGGACTCTGGGTAAGATTGGCACTTGGGGTCTGTGAGGTTTGGCCTCCATGTTGGGTTACTCACTTACAAAATGAGGAGCCTGATCCAACCTCCCGTCCCCTCAGTCAGTACCTTGAAAGTGATACTGTGAAGCTTTTGTGCTTCTGCATGGGGTGTTCTCAGAAGTACCCATCCTAACAGTGGTTCCCTTTAAGGCTTTAGGAGACACCTTGGTCAGTGGAATGGGCAAGAGGGCAGGAAGGGTGTGTCAGTTACTTATGAATTTTCAAGTTAGCTCCGTGCTAAGAAAATATGGGGACCAAGGTTTACTTGACCTTCTACCAGGATGCTCGTTGAAGTCTATCCAATTCTGCTGGTGATTTCCTTGTGCAGAATTTCAAACACAGTACTTTCCAAACATAATTCCAAACATAAGAATTACCAACACTGCATCCACAGGCTTTCCACGAGTCCTCAAATAAATACAAAGTTTAGTGACTTTGAGTAGCCACAGGTAGCATATAACCCCAACTCAGGGGGAATAATCGAGCCCCTAAATTTCACTAGCAAATGGACTATTCTGAGATCCTTATTTAAAGCAATAGCCCATTTTGCCGCCTCCTAGGAACAATGTAATATAAAGATGTCCAGTCACCTGGGAAAGCTTTTTTCTTTGTGTAAACGCTTTCCTGAGCAGCTTCCATGTGATGATCTCAAGACCCACAGGGAACAGGCAGCCAACACCTTCCAAGCCAGGACTCTGAGCTTAAAGGAGCCATCACTTTCCTGCTGGCTCACTAGATTATTTTCAAACAATTTAACAGGGTTTATGGAGCCCAGGGGATGAAGACAGGTGCTAATAATGTGTGTATGTTGTGGAGGCTGTCAAAGCAGGGTGAGAAAACAGCCATGAAACTATGTGATGATAACTTAATGTGTGCATTTTATATAAAATTGTGTGTCACTGGGTGTGGCAGTACAGGCCTGTAATCCCAGCACTTGGGAGGCTAAGGCGGGAGGATCACTGCAAGTTTGAGGCCAGCATGGGCTACACCGTGAGTTCAAGGCCAACTTGGACTACATAGTGAGACCCTGTCTCAAAAAAAATTGTGTGTGCATAAAATCTTAAGTTCTATATTATCCGATATTAATATCATTACTTCTGTGTGCTTTCACTTGCTATCTTGTTGATCATTTAGTATTAAGCTCCTTCTATCTCTTTAAATGTCTTATGCATATCATAGTTGTGTTTTGTAACTCAATCTAACAGCCTATCTTTGACGGAAGACTACAGGCCACTCATGTGCATTTGCCAGTCCTTCTATCTCATTTTGTGTTGATGACTGATGGGACACTGTTGTTTCTTCTTGAGGTTTGCCAGTGTGACCAAGTTACTGAAAATTCCATATCCCCTTTTACTACTTAGAAGTGTTATTAAAACTTTTCTGTTCTATTAGTGATTACATTTCTTTTCAATAATCTCAAAAGCAGTGATGTTTTTACTATTATTTGCAAACACAATACTAATTATCCTCAGAACAAAGTATGTCCCATACAGCAAAGCTCCATCCTGCACCTTTCCCAGAGCTGAAACCCTCAGAATACTTCTGATGCCTGCCCTCCAGCTGTGTCTTCTAGATAAGCCTCTGAAAACGTGTCTACCCACACTTCTTGCCAACACCTAGGATTGCTACAACTATACAACTGGCATACTGAGCTAGCATTAATATCTCCCTTTGGGTACAACCTTTCTGTTAAGAAAGTATTGTATGTCCCAGTCCATATCTGTCCTTTTGGGAATAGTGTTATACATAAACAGATACACTGAATTAAACACATGTACACACGCCTTATGGGAAGGCAGGAAGAGCTGGGGAAGAAGGCAGTGTGAGAGGGCGGGCACAGGGCAGGCAGACCTTTCACCCTCCTCTGGATGAACTGCATTCTTCAGAATTTCCTTACAAAGATCTTTTAACTATGAACTCAGTTTCCATTGTTCTGCAAGTCTTTATTTCACCCTCACTTTAGAATATTTATGCTGGGTATAACATTCTAGATTTGCAGTTATTTTCTTTGATCACATTGCTAATATTATTCTACTATCTTGTTTCCACTTGGTGCTGAGAAGCTGGTCATTACTCTGTCACTCTTCCAAAAGTAATCTTTGTTCTCTAGTTGACTTTAAGATCTCTCTCTGGCTGTTTTAGCTTTTTGTCTGTCTGTTTTTGCACCTTCACCATGATGTAACCTCCTTTTTAATTTACTCTATTTTGGATTTGCTGGAATTTTTGAATCTGTGATTATTCTTTCATCAGTGCTAGAAAATTCTCAGCCATGTAGTCTTCAGATTTTTTTCTCTGCCTCATTCTTCTTCCTCTTCTGGAACCCCAGTCATATATACACTAAGCCATCACTTTCTAGTCTCTGTATTTCTTAGCTTCTCTAATTTATTTCCTATGATTGTGTGTCTTTGATACATGCTAGATTGTTTCTCACTTACTGTGTAAGTTTTTAATTTTTAAGTTGTTACTTTTTCATTTATCAAAATTCAATTTGCAACCTCTGAGGCTTAAGATTAAGGGGTCCTCCTCTAGAAGGCTTTACCCACTCTGTGGGTGCCCAGGAGTACCTTCCGTACAGCCCACTTTCAAGTTAGGGTTTGGCTTTCTGGACCACCCCACTGTTGGAACTGTGGGTGGCCTGAGGCTCAGCCTTCTTTGTCAGTCTTGACCCCCAGGCCTCATTTGCAATCAGCTGACCAAAGTCTTCAGCAGCCACTTGGCTTACATCAAAAGTCTAGAGCTGGGGATGGAGAAAAGGGAGCCATGGTCTGTTTCTAGAATGCTTGAACTGGCTTTGAAAAATTGCATGTACAGTTAAGCATTAAAACAGCACATTCTAGCAGGGCATGGTGGCACACACCTGTAATTCCAGTACTGGAGAGGCTAAGACAGGAGGATCACCACAAATTCAAAGCCAGCCAGGACAACATAGTGAGTTCAATGTCAGCCTGAACTATATAGCGATACTCTGTCTCAAAAAAACAAAAACAAACAACCCCCCACAGACCAGCACATTTTATAATAAAAATTTTAATGAGTATAAACTGCTACAATTTTATTTTGCTTAGATGACTTTAGCAGGTATAGTTTTAAAAGACTAAGAAAGTGAAGTGTCAACAATTAGATCATCAGGTTAGAAAGTTAAAACACACTGTAACATAGCACAAGGAAATAATCTTTTTCCCAAATTCAAAACCTGCTAGACACAGACCTGAGATATAATCATTTCTCATATTCAGGCATAGCTGTGGAGCCAAGAAGCAGGTACTTACCCTTGTAAAGCCAGCAGTAATGAAAGGCATCACAGACAACTCTTCTTTGTCCATCCTTCAAAAGAACAGACCAAGAGTCAGACATGGTTTTTGTCAATGATATCTCATCTTTTACATGATCACTAGCTTACCTAATACTTTTAATTATTTTATAATGAGTACTTTTAGATGAATTAGGCTAATGTGTGAATAGAAAGTTCAAAACCACTTTCTGCTTTGATTTCATTAGTTTTTAAAAAATATATTATTATAACACTTTTTTTTTTAGGTGCAGTTTCACTATGTTGCCCAGGTTGGTTTCAAACTCCCAGGTGTGAGTTATTCTCCTGCCTCAGCCTTCAGAGTGCTGGGACTACTGGTGCTCACCACTGTACCTGGCTATTATAATACTTGAGATACAGATTACATTAACACCTGGAATAAAGGCATGTCCGTATATCTATTGAATATATAAAACTTTTAAACAAAATTAAATTCTCTTGTATTTTTTCTACTTCATTAATTTTTTAAAAAATGCAACCAGATATGGTGGCGTGTCTATAATTCCAGTACTGGGAAAGTGCTGGGGTAGGGGATTAGGGGGAGAGGATCATGAGTTTGACCCCAGCCTGGGCAACATAGGAAGACCCTATCTCAAAGAAAAAAAAAATCCTTTCTCTGCTTCACCTCTGGGGAAAAAAAATGAAAGGACACAGAAATATTTCTTCTATCTATAAAAACATGTATGCTAACTAAGTAAGATTTATTTGAATACTTGCCTTCCTCCTACATATTTCCCTTTTTTTCCTGACTCTAACTTAGGGAAGTACTCAAGTACAATTCAAGTACAATTCAAACCCTCAGAGGTATTTGGGGTTTGAGGGCCTAGGACAATTCCCCTCAGAAACTCACACTTCTAGGCAGCTTAATCAGGAAGCACAAATCCCTCTGTGAAGTTAACTGGAGAAGCAAAACGAAAATCCAACAGTAAAGAAAAAGCCAAACTTCAAAGGGACCCCCCTTGAAGAGGAGTGACAGCAGGCAGGCCCTAATCCAGCCCTGTCAGGAGCAAGCACTGCACTAACACCTGCATCTCAATGTCAAAAACACAAGAAACAAAGCCCCACAGTGGCAGTTTTACCTGCGAACTACACCAACAATAACTGTATTTTCTGAGAGTTTTGATGATCTGATGGACCTTAGAAAAACAAAGAAATTTCAATAAAAATATTTAAAAATCATTTACCAGTCCAATTATTTAAATACAGAATGACCAAAAATTCCATTTTTTGGTTAATTTTTATAACAGGAAACAAAATGACACTTTTATCAAATTCAATAATTTTTCTGTGTATGGTACATCTTAAAACATTCAATACATAACACAATGGTACAATCGGGACAGTAGTATCTGGTCTCTTTCCAAATTCTTTTTGCATTATTGTCTTTGTTTAAGCAATACACTTTACACTGTCACGGTGACCTTTCCTTTTTTGCTGTGGCTGGTATAATTTCAATAAGATGTCTACCCACTGAACATAATGGTGAAGACATCGATGATGGGTTATAATCAGTAACCACTATTGGGATTTTTAAAGTTTCATTTCTTCTTTCAAGTTCTATCATTTCTGTTTATGAACACTTAACAATGAGATGTCTTTTTTGTCTTCACTTCATAACACAGACGTTTCCTCTCTGCTATGCTAACATTTCTCCCTTCTCTCAGTTTTCTCTTTTGCAGATCTTTTGGCACTTCCTTCCTATTCGGTCTCAGTGTACCCAAAGAGTCCATGTGTACTGTAAAAGAATATTACTGAGTTCTGGAAAAGTATAAAAATGATATCTAATGTACTTAGCGTTTACAGACTGTAACACAAGTGCTCGCTTCGGCAGCACATATACAAAAACAGATTGTAACACAAAATTATAGGTTATTTTTCACAAACACAAATTAGTAAAAGAAAATAACTGGAACTTATTATTAGATTTCACTAGAAACAAACATCAAAGGTGAATACAACATTCTACATAAAAAAGTATGCAAAAATAGTCAATATAAAATAAATGAACAGATATGTGAATAAGAATTGACAGTCAATGCTTGGGACAGTCAGTACATAAACAAGTACACTGCCCAAGTGATGCTGGGGTAAACGGTTAAATGGTTAAAAAAACAAATATAATAAACACTTTTGGGAAAAACTCCTGGCCAGGTGACTATAGCAATCAGAGAGCATGGATTTTGAGTGTACAGCTACTTGAGGTGACTGATACACTATCACCTTGCTCTGGTCTTCGTTAACCTAGGTGGCTTCTGGCGGAGAACTCTCCCTACTTTGTGCTTACATGAAAAGGACCACAGTTCTGTCTCTTCCCGCTTAAGGGAGATGCAAGGCTGTGTGCATGACGACAGGCTGATGGCTACATACACTGTGGGGACTGGAGTTCAAGAGACAGCTCCTCTCTGTATTCTTAGCAGCACAAAAAATGAAGAGTTCCTAGGAAAAGTGGAGGCAAAAGTAACCACCACAAATCCCAACCCAGGAACTGTATATTAAAGTCAGCAATTAGAATAGAGTCAACCGTGCAAGGAAATAGAGCCCTGGTCAAGAGCTGAAGACCCTGTCCCACCAGAGAGTTTGAAAACCTTAGGGAGAAGCAGCTTCAGAGACAATGGGGACACAAAGACACAGCTGGAAGGTCAAGGAGGCAGACATAAACATGAACAGAGTTGGAAAGGGAAGAAGGGTGCAATGCCCTGAACTCTTCCTCTACTGGGGGAAAACAGCAGAGCTGTCTGGAAAAGATTCAGGCTGCTAGAGAGGGAAGAACTCTGCCCAGACAGAGGAAAAGGATCCACACTGGAGAGGGACAAGAGAGAGGCCCATTTCCAGACTACTGCGGTCACAGGACAAATGCGCTGGCCTCAGGAGAACACATCTAGGATGGGACAGAGACTAGATGGGTGATCATAAAACTTCAGCTGTGCATAGCAGCATGAATGCAATTAGTTCAGAAAATAGAACCAGTTCTGAATCACAGGAACTCAGAAAATAACTTGTTTCCAAATTCTCCCCCAAATGGTACAAAACTTAATCATTTCAGATGCATAAGAAAGATGTATCATATTAGCAAGCTTTTCCTATAAAGGACCAGAGTAAATATTTGAGGCATGAATTCTGGACTACCCGACAGCACACAGCAGTAGGAATGTAGGAATGGAGTCAGACATTACACGCAAATGAATGGGTGGGGGGGGGCTCCTCGTTGTCCCTTGCCTTAGGGCATTCGGGCTGAGACAAGGCTGAGTCTAGCAACAGGTGCAGGCTAGCCTTGGGCCCTACAGTAGAAGAGTTAGTTGTTCAGGAACAGAAAGACGGCTGCAGGAACCAGCAGTCCCTGTCACAGACCAAAGCTCATCTCTCCTTCTTTCCCCCTCTCTTTAACACTCCTGTTCTTTCCAGTGCCCACTCTGTACTCCTCTCCAGAGGGAGCCAACCCTGGTCTCTGCCCAGAGAAGAGCCAGGCTCAGCTTACTGAGGAAGGGCCAGGGAGGGTGGCTCAGGCCTGGGTCACCAGCACGGCTGACACTCACAAAGACACAGCCAGCGTATGCCTGATGACTATGTTCATCCTGATGCTAATCTCAAACAGAGAATAAGGGACGTGGACTCTCAAATGGCATTTCCGTGACTTCTAGGAACACTGAGCCTGTTCTGGTGGTTATGTGTCCATCATATCACTGAGATTTGAAGTGAGGAAAGGGAGCTTTAAGAATGCAGCTAGCCAGCTCAAACCTGTGCTCAGCTTTTTAGAAGAAAAACAGATACTTGAGTGCTGTTGTGGCATGTAGGCAACCAGGCAGAGGATTTCAGCAGGTGTTTTGGTTGCCTGACCTGTAATTGGAGATTACAGGGGCATGAGGCTAAGGCAGCAGAAAGGAAGGCCTTGTTTGTGGGGTGATAGAGCCTTCAAGGGAGCTCTGCAGCTGTGTAAAACTTTTTCCAATGCATAAGAGCAAAAAGTGGCTTTAAAAAATGGACATGTCAGAAATTTGGTTTGAAAAATAACGCTCTTGCTTTAGAATCACGAGCACTAAGATAGAACTGACTTGGCATAGTCAAAATGAGGAAGGCAGACTTCAAACGGTCAGGAGAGAGTCAGGGCATGGTCCCACGGCAAGCATGCTAAAAACCAGGCTGCTTGGTGTGCTGCCAGGGGTAACATGGCTACACATGAAAAACAAAACCCGAAAGAAGAATGGTTTCCATGTGTCTACCTGTCTCACACAGGAGTGATGTGCACAGGGAGACAGTCCAGGGCTGCCACAGGACTCTGTACAGACAGGAATCTGGCCTTGTACACTGCCTATTTCTCTGCTGTCTGTACATGGACTCTTCCTCCTGGTCCAAGATACAGTAAATGCAGATAGACGCTTCACATCTACATGCCAGGCAGCAGGAAACAGGGCATGTGCCCTCCCTGTGAAAGTATAGCTCCATTGGCCAGCTGCAAGAAAAATTACGGAATGCAATATATCTTCTAGGTGCACATATGCCCAACAAGAATCAGAAATTCTATTACAAAAAGAACACAAACAGAGACTTAGGGCAACCACCAGTCTCAACTTACAACAGGCAGCTACAAATACAGGGCGTGACCTTGGGTGAACGTCTGCTTCTTGGTCCCTTTCTCTCCACATTGTTCCCCACTCTGCTTCCTGACTGCTGTGGGGGGAGCAGCTGTCCTCTACCAGGCCCTTCCGCCATGCCACTTCTGCCTTGTAGCCAGCCCACCATGGAGTGAACCCTCTGAAACCCGAGCCAAAATAATCCTTTTCTCCTTAAATTGCAGGTATTTTTGTCCCAGTGACCCATACATCCTTGTGGCAGTATTAAGAGTGGGGCCTTTAAAATGTGTTTGGGCCATGAGGGCTCCTCCTTAGAAATTAGGATTAAAGTCTTCACAAGAGAGAAGTCATGCAGCTTTCCAGTTCCAGAGGATACATCTTTCCCAGATGACTGAGCCTGCCAGTGCCTTCATCTTGGATTTCCCAGCCTCCAAAAGTATGAGAAAATTAATTTCTGTTCTCTATAAATTACTAGTCTCACATGACACTCTGTGTACTACTGCACAGTTCGGTGACTATAGATAACAACAATGTACTGTACATTTCAAAATGCTATAAGATTTGAAAATTCTTACCATAAAAGAATGATAAATGTTGCAGGAGATAAATATGTTTTAACCTGGTTTAAATACTTGCAAGATAGGTATGTCTTTAACATACATGGTACCCCATTAATACGTACAATTTTTGTTTTTATGTATCAGTTAAAAAAGAAATTACCTAGTCTTAAGTATTTCGTTGTAGCCTCACAAGGTAAAGATACCCCCCAACTAGACTATCAATTCCTCAGAGGCAAGAACCCTGTCTTACTCATCTATACAGTTTAGTACTAAATGCAGTGCTCAGAAATGAGATGCACAAAGCAGAGGTCCTGAACTGGTGGATTTGGAAATACAGCAGACAGAATATGTGGCCTTCAATAAGGCGTCCATAGAGTACAATGAGCTCCACATGCTCTCAGCAGCAAGAGGCAGGTGAATGCTAGTCATCTGGCAGGTCAGCAATTGATGTAAAACCTTTTGCTAGGTGTGATGGTACATGCCTACAGACACTCTAGGAGGATGAGGCAGGATGACTGTGAGTTTGAGCCCGGCCTGGGGAATTCAGTAACTTAGCAAGACTCTGTCTAAAATTAAAAAAAAATTAAAGGGATGGATATGTAACTCAGTGCAAAGTTCCTGGGTACAATTCCCAGTACCACAAAGAAAAAGGAAAACAAAACAAAACAAAACAAAAAAGCCCTTCACAGGCCACTAGTGTTGATTAAGTTATACCTCCACAGGTATCCCTCCCAAAGAGATGAAGGACAGCATTTTGTCAGGACTGAGGTCTCATGGGCTGTGGAGGCCTGAGGGGAGAGAGCAAGCCAGTGGAGGAGCAGGGATCTGCAGGGGTTACATGAAGAAACAGGCATCTTCTAGGGAGGATCTTAAGGAAGATAAACCAGGTAAGGGCCAGCGTCTGACTTTGTTCTTGCCTTTGGAAGTCTCACTATGAATGGCACAAAGACACCAAACCCCACATTCAAGTCACCAAACAAAATGAAGATGATTTGGTAGAACACAGTAGCAAGAAAGACTTGAGGTTCTTGGGCAGTGTTGCACCATGGCCATCAGGAAAGCAATGTGATCAGGGACTGCATTTGTACAAGTCTGCTCTCCGGCTAGCACAGGGGACAGGAAGGACTGCTCTGTTTGCTCTTCACTGGTCCATCCAAACCTATGTGAGCTTTTCCATTCTGCAGCCATCCTGCTAAGAGCTACCAACTAGAAGAGGGGCTTCAGAGGTACACGGTACCTCAATGGATCTGGAATATGAAACCCTGCTCTGTGAGGAGCTGCTGCTGGCAGTGAGGATATACTCAGCTCAGAGAGAAGATACCTTGCTGCAACACAAATCCTATCCTTGAACCTTAGCAAGTCATTCTGGGGTCAGGAACAGATAGCTCTAGCAACGCAAATCTGAAGAGAGAACTTGTGAAACTCAGAGCTTTCCTTTGGGGAGGCCCAGGCCCCAGGGCACAGCATATGGACACCAGACCTCCCATGCTGCTCTAGATCAAACATCAAGCAGCCCAGCTCCCATTCTTTATTCTACAACTCTATGAAATAGTTGCTTACATGAGAGAATGGATTAATACTTTTGGAACTAGGTATTTGTGTGCTTTTGACTGAGTTTTATGTAACATTAACATTTCATTTAAATACTTCAGCTCCACTAGTTAATAAGCTTCTAAAAGACAAGTTTTTCATTTTATTTTTGGTCTATAAAATCCTCTTATACAGGCTCAATAAAAATTTCTTAAGTGCATTAGCTCCCACATGTTTAGAATATTCCTAAAATGTATAATGATAGTACATGTTCTTCTCTTAAAAAGCAGTGAATAACTTTATATTATATATATTTCAATACAATAAAAAGAGGAGGATAACGAATATAATTTCACTTTTCTTTCACAATACAGAATGATACCGCAAAGTCATCTTTATGAGTATCAACTTCTATCGTGCAGCACCCAGCTGTGGCTAGGTTTGGGTCTGGAAAAGACTGGGAATGAGGCCAAGCTCTCCTCAGCATCTGCTCCCACCCCCTGTACTATGTCTATCTTGGCAGCCCTCTGGCCCTCCTTAGATACACTGCCTTGAGCATCCTACCAAGAGGATGAATCCATGCTCAAACATCACCCAACTTATTTTTTCCCTTTCTCTGAGTGACGTCCATTAAATGTTACAGAGAGACAGGATCTTGGAAAGCAAGTGTTCCAAGCTCACAACTAAGATAAAACATTCCCAGAGAAGGCAAAGAGTTACCCCACAGCCAAGTAGCTTGTTCAAGGAAAAGCTGAGCTAGGACCTGGGTCTCCCTCTACCCAGCTAGAGCTTTCTTCATTTCTCTTGGCAGGGTATGTGCTAGGTGACTGGCCAGATGACACGTCAAACAAATACTGGCTATGATGATAATGGCTTACTGCAAAGTCAACTAGACTGAAACAGGCCAGGAACACAGGCAGCGCTCCAAGGACCACATCAAGGCCAGAGGGGAAGTTCTACTGGAGGCAAATCATGCTGAGGTAAAAGTAACCTGGTCTGACCACCAGAAATGTGGGTTATCACTGCCAAGGAAATAAGCATATATTGAAATCACCAAGTACCCTGCACAATCCTTTGATGTGATGTTATCTGTCTGTCACATTAATTTTTAACTCTTGTTATATTTGGCTTAACCTTTTCTACCTATTAAAAGTCAAGATTTAAATATCCTTAAATTACTTTTATGAAATTTTACATTCCACTGAAGTTATGATTTGTCTTTCCCTATTAAATGGATAATATTTTTTTTTTGCCTCACAGACATCCATAGCAAGTAATGTTCTTTAATTTTGGGGGGTGGGTACCGGGGATCAAACTCTAGACCTTGAGCTTGTGAAGCAGGTGCCAGAACCACTGAGCTAAATCCCCGGCCTAATGTTCTTTAATTTTAAAAAGCACTTTTCTTATAATTATGTCTGCAACCCAGAATTCTTTCTTTAATATTGTGCAAATATTTCTAAATAAGGTACATTTATCTAACATTAGAGGACAATTTTGAAATTTTTATTATGACTTTCAAAACAATCTGGAAAATTATAATTCTTGTTGCAGTAGTACACAGATTTTTTAGTTGTAGGTAATTAAATACTGGCTTTCATCTTAATCCATGTTTCTCATTTATATTTTCCACTTTTTTAAACAAAGTAAAGAAAGCAAGATAAAAGATTAATTCTTGAAATAATGTGGTTCTGTTGTCTTGCTTAATTTACATACAGTGTAGGGATAGAGACTAGATTCAACTTAATGTGTTTGCAGGCTGCATTTCTTATCACAAGTACCAACGAGACTATTTAGGCCCGAGTCTCGTGCTCACCTGCACAGTGCCTCTGCATCCAGCTGTCCAGGATTCCTGTGGTCGATGATGATGATGTCGTGGTGTTTGTCCAGGAAGCAGGCAAGGACAGCCTGTGCCTCCTTGGTGACTGTGCACTTAAACCCTGCTTTTTCACATGCCCTGCAGAATCCATTACACTGGTTATCTTCTTTGGTAAACACTAAAAGTACCTGAAACAAAAGGGCACAAACACTTTTATAAAAACAATATGTTGTTAGAACTATCATTTCTTACAGAAAATTCCCAAATACTTCAAAGCAAGGACACAGATGTGAATATAACAATTTATCTGTTCAAATCCCTCTCCCTCACATAACCCAGGGGCTCAGTCAGCTCCCTCAATGAGTGTTATTTTCTATGTACTTCTCTTGCTAGTAAACCCATTGGAAGAACTCAAGAAAGACTTAAACCTTTTTATCTAGAAATGAGATTAATTAAAACATATAAATATTTTAGCAAACAAAGTTAACAGCACATATCTGAGACGGCAAATGCTAGTATTTCAGTGAAACAATTAGGAAACATAATTGTTTATACAATGTATTTAAATTTTTTCATTCAAGAATTTATTAAATTCCTCCAAGTTAAAATTTTCACTTTGATTATAAAAGGGAAGATTTAAAGTAGGCCAAAACATTACATTTCAAAGCCTTCCAGTTAAGTGGGCTAGATACAACCCCAGGTACAGGAAGCAGTGTTCACACTGATGCCCAGGATAGTGCCTGGCTGTTCCAGGGCTTGGTCTGGATTGGGGAAGTCTCTTCCTGTTCTGGATTGCGCCTTCTCCCCAATCCAGCCAAATCTGGTTCAGGAGAACCTCTGCACCACCCCCTAAAGCCCAACTCCCTCACGGGGCAATGGTGGTTGAATGAAGATGGAGTAGCCTCGGAAACTGAAAGATCACAAAGTAAGATAGAAACATTCTTCCCTACGGCTTACTTCTTTTAAATATACTCACAGCACAGACACACCACAAATGCAAGGACATAAGACCATATACACTTGTGTTGGCCCTTTTCACATTTTAATAAAATGTAATAGTAAGTGTGTGTGTGTGTGTGTGTGTGTGTGTGTGTGTGTGTGTGTGTAGGAAGCCCCAAATAACGTGGCTAGACTTCAAAAAAAAATTTTTTTTTGAGATAGTGTCTTGCTATGTAATTCAGGCTGGCCTTGAACTCACAATGATCCTCCTGCACTGGCCTGCTGAGTACAATCAGGTATTTTCTCTTTCATATTTTGGACTAGACAAATAATATATATTTTCAAATAGGGCTGATTCAGCAACATTGAGAACACTATGTTTTTAACTTTTTATTATGGAAACTTTTAAGTCTACAGGAAAGTTGCGAATGACAATGAATACCTGGATATCCTTCCTCTAGACTCATCATTAATATTTTGCCACTTTTGCTCTCTCTGTACATGCACATGGTCACACAGCCAATTAAACATTTTTTTCTTTATTGCTGAAGCAACTTAAAGCAGGTTCCAGATAAGTCCTTACCTTCAAATAACTCAATGTGCATTTCTAAGGAAAGGACGTTCTCTTATATAACTACATCCCTTAATATCAAATTTCAAGAAATGTAACACTGATGTAATGCTATTATTTTAGAAGACTTAAATGTTTTAAATATATAATGTCAGGCCTCCCCTCCCACACACATACTTTCAAAGAAAATCAACAAGTGATGACTGTCACATGGTTCATTAGTACCTGAAGCTGATCTTGATGAAATCTCATGGGGCCAAACTGCACATCGGCTAGTGCTACCTGTAAGAAAGAGATTTGCTTTAAAATGGACAGTTTTCTTTAAATTTTTCTCTCAGGTCCAGGGATTTAGCTCAATGGCAAGGTGCCTATCTTGCAAGCACAAGGTCCTGAGTTTGATCCCTGGTACCAAAAATTTTTTTAAAATAAAAAATAAATAATTTTTTCTCATTACTCAGTGCCACAGAAAAAAGTAAAATATGCCAGTAAAAATTATATAAATAGAGAAATAAGTAAAATGAATTCAAGGAGCTCCCTATAAACCCCAAAAGAAATCGAAGCAAGAAAAGAGAAATAAAAAGAATCTGATCTCAGAATTGCCTTTTACTAGGCATGTGTGACCTTGAGGAATTATTCAACCTTTCTTAGCCTCAATTTTTCATTTGTTACAAAGATCAAATTAGACTACAATATAAAAAGACCCCAAAGTTAAACTATCATTATTTGCCAATGACATACTTTACATAGAAGAACCAAAAAACTACACCAAAGACTTCTAGTAAGATCAAATTAGACTACAATATAAAAAGACCCCAAAGTTAAACTATCATTATTTGCCAATGACATACTTTACATAGAAGAACCAAAAAACTACACCAAAGATCTCTAGAATTGATAGATTCAGTAGAGTAGCTGGATACAAGGTCAACACTCAAAAATCAATAGCCTTCTTGTATACAAACAACAGACTCATTGAGAAAGAAATTAGGGAAACAATTCCTTTCACAATAGCATACAGAAAAAAAAGGAAATAACTAGGAATCTAATGAAGGAAACAAAAGACCTGTACACTGAAAACTACAGCACTCTGAAAAAAGAGGTCAAAGACAATATAAGAAAGTGGAAAGACATCCCTTGTGCCTGGGTAGGAAGAAACAATATAGTGAAAATGGCCATACTTCCAAAACTGCTATAAAGACTCAAGGCAATCCCAACTGAAATTCCAACAGTATATTTTACAGAACTAGAAAAAAATCCAAAAATTCGTTTGGAACCAGAAGAGACCTCGAATAGCAAAAACAATTCTAGGCAACAAAGACATGATGGGGGTATCACAATCCCCAACTTGAAATTATACTACAAAGCCACTGTGATAAAAACAGCATGGTACTGGCAAAGAAACTGACCTGAGGATCAGTGGAATATATCAGAAGATGCAGAAACAACTCCAGAGGTACTCAGCTGCCTCAACTCTGATAAAGGAGCCAACCATCCTCACTGGAGGAAAGAAAGCCTCTTTAATAAATGGTGTTAAAAAAATTGTATTTCAACCTGCCAAAGATCAAAACAAGGCCCCTATCTTTCACCATGCACTAAACTAAAATCAATGTGGATCAAAGATCTAAATATTAAAACAAACATTAAACTTGCTAGAAGATAAGTTAGGTAGAACTCCTGAAGGCATTGGCATAGAAAAACACTTTATGAACAAAACCGCAGTAGCATGGGAACTAGCACAAAGAATCAACAACTGGGATCTCATCTTATTAAAAAGCTTTTGCACTGCAAGAGAGACCAACAGAGCTAAGAGACAACCTACGACGTGGGGAAAAATTTTTATCACCTATTCCTCAGACAAAGGACTACTATCTAGAATGTATAATGAACTTTTAAAAAGTCAGACCCCCCCAAATATAAAGATACAGTTCAAAAATAGGCATCTGAAATGAACAGATATTTCTCAGACACAGCAACAAATAAACATATGAAAAAAAATGTTCAACGTCACTGATCATTTGAGAGATGCAATTGAAAACAAAACTAAGATTCCACCTCACCCAAGAAAGAATGGCTGCTATCAAGAAATGAGTGACAAATGCTGGCAGGGTTGTGGGGAGATAGGAACCCTTCTCCATTGTTGTCGGGATTGCAGACTGGTACAATCATTGTGGAAATCAATATGGAGATACCTTGAACAACTAGGATTAGAGGTCCTATTGGATCCAGCTAGTCCTCTGCAGTTATCTTCCCAAAAGAATTAAAAGAGTCATACCACGGTGATATATGCACACCCATGTTCATAGTGACACAGTTTGTAATAGCAAAAGCTTGGAAATAGTCCATTTTCCCATCAACTGGAGACTGGTTAAAGAAGATATGTTTTGGGGCTGGGGATTTAGCTCAGTGGTTCTGCCGCCTGCCTTGCAAGCACAAGGTCCCAAGTTCGATCCCCAGTACCAAAAAAAAATTTTTTTTTAAATAAAATGAGAGTACTAGCCATAACATATGAGAAACTAGAGACATTTATAGCTAAACGGATGCACACTGAGGCCATACTCTGAAGTGATATAAATCGGATACATACGTGTACATCACCAAATAGTTTCCCTGGTGTGAGAAACTAAAAGTGTAAATAAGAATCAAAATGTATAGTAGATAATATGAAATAGGAAGAAAATGTCTAAATGGAGTAGGGGAAGTGGGAGGGGTGGGGAAATGGAAAGAAGGGAAAGGAAAAATATTAGAAAAGGAAAAAATGGAAACAAATTCTTTGTAAATGGGAGGGGGTGAAGAGTTTGAAGAGAGAACAGGGGAATGGGGAAAAAATAAGAACCAAGATACAGCACATAAAGGTACAAGATCCCAATGATGAATGTAACTGTATTATACACCCAAAATGTATCAATAAACTTAATGAAAAAAAGCCCCCAAATAGTATATACCAAATAAATCTTGGTTCCTTCTGTGCTTATTTCCAGTTTTCTCTTGGTAGGGAATTAATCTTATAAAACGGCATATTAATAATGCAATCCAGCAGTCAGAATCATGGGATATCAAAGAAACCTCTTTGAGAACTAGTTGATACTTCATTTTTCAGAGGAGTATAATAGTTCTTATCAGTAGGTGTTTATCCATATGACACTAAAACATACTATGTCCTGATGAAACCCCAATGAGTTATAGTAATCATAACACAAACACACGGCTTAGCAAGTTCTGGTCATAGTGCTAAGAGCTGGACATACCTGAGCTCACTATATCCTCACAGCAGTGTGGTGAGAGTAGCAAAGACCATCTGTTTAGCTCCATACCCTGTACCATCTACCAGGGTCATTGGAAGGCTTGATTCATCTCTGTGCAAAGGAGTCCAAGGGAGAAAAAGGTTGGGCTGAAATTCAGCCCCAGGTGATGAATTCTGGCATTGCTCTTACATCCAGAGGAAGAGACACATCTTGCAATCTTCCCTGAGACTCTATATACACTGAAAAGATTCCCTACCCTGCCCCACGGGGTGATGGTGTGACTCATACCTAGAACAGCAAGGGAAGAAGTACATCTATAAGACTCTGACAAAATGTTTCCTTCCGGGCTGCCCAATTCCCATCTCTCCTCTCAAAACACATGTAACAAAATCTGCTTAGTGATGAGGGAAACCCACGTAAAAACTTAACAAGCTGATGGGAAACCCATAAATAATTCTAACTGCAAGAAGCAGAGGTCCACTATTCACAGGCCACTGGCTAGCTTTCTGATTTGCTTTTGTACTAATTTTCTCTCTCAAAAGACATAAGAATGAGGGTCATTACCGTTTTAGACCAAAGACTTGGGAGGAGGATTTGTTTATAAGGTGGAAGGATCAGGAGAACAGACTACTGGCACCACCTGTCCTCTGGACCTGTGGGCCAGCCTCACTGGGAGGTAAAGCTGGATACCAAAGCTAGAATTTCTGAAAGAGAAGATGGTCCAAGAGCCCCAGGAAAGTTTAAAAAGACAGGTCTCTGGGGAGATGGTGGAGTAAGAAATACTGGGAATCTCTCCACCTGCACTGGCAGACTTATCTAATGTAACTATTTGGGGAACTCTGCGTCTATAGAAGCTTGCGACTTTCAGAAGAACCAGACAGTAAATTGCAGTCAATTTCAGCTCTTAGCACAAGCAGCTATCCAGCCCCAGCCTACACATGTGTTCCTATAGCAACCTGAACACAACTTGTGAAAGCCAGGGTAAGCAAAAGGGATCCTGACCTACAAATATGAGGGATCTGTGTTCTGATCACAGACATGCTGACCAAGGGGGATTGGGGTGCGTACAGCTATGAACATTTGCAATAAAAAAAGAAAGATCTCAAGTTACCCAGCTAGCTTTACAACATAAAGATCTGAAAGAAAAGAATAAACTAAACCCAAAGCTAGCAGAAGGAAGAAAATAATAAAGATAAAAGCAGAGATCCACGAAAGAGAACAAACAACAGAAAAATCAATGAAACTAAAAAATTGGTTCTTAGGGGGGGAAAAACCAACAAGATGACAAAGTTTTAGTTAGATTACTAAGGAAAAAAAGGGAGGAGACTTAAATTATTAAAATCACAACTGAAAGTGGGGCCATTATTACCAATTCTATAAAAAGAGGATTATAAAATAGTACCAAAAGCCAGGCATGGTGGCACACGCCTGTAATCCCAGCACTCGGGAGGCTGAGGCAGGAGGATCACTGTGAGTTTGAGACCAGTCTGGGCTACATAGTGAGTTCCAGGTCAATCTCCACTACATAGTGAGACCCTGTCTCAAAAAAACAAAACAGAACAAAAAAACAGTACCACAAATAACTATTCTCCAACAAACTGGATAACCTGGATGAAATGGACAAATTCCTAGAAACATAAAACCTATCAAGATTAAATCACAAAGAAACACAAAATTTGATCTAAAACTAGTAAGGAGATTGAGTCAGTAATCAAAGATCTCCCAAAGAAAAGCAATGGATATTATGGCTTCATGGTGAATTCTATCAAACATTTAAAGAACTAATACAAATCTTCAAAACTCTCCAAACAATGAAGAGAAAGGACTACTTCCTTGTGCATTCCATGAGGCCATCATTACCTGTTATCAAGGCTAGGCACAGAAACTGCCAGAAAATGACATAGGCCAACATTCCTGTAAGAACACTGATGCGGAAATTCTCAATATTGTAAATTGAATTCAGCAGCATATTAAAAGGGCATATACACCATGACTGAATGGTGGTCATTATTGGGAATCAATCAATACAACATACCTCATTAACAGAATGAAGGAGAAAAC